CCTAAAACCCTATAGATCCCCTAAAGGAGCCCCTTGAAGGTACCCTTGTAGATCCCTTTAAAGGAACCTTTTGGGCCTGCAACCTCTACCAATCCATGGGTTGACCTTCAAGCACTTTGGGGTCTCCTGTCAAGGGCTCCTTGAAGGGTTCCTTCCAGGGCTTCTTTAAAGCCCTAAGGCTCAATGTACCGAAATAGCATCCACTGATGCCTTAAAGTACCGGTATAAGAAACCCCTTTTGGGGCATCCTTTTTGAGGCGCACCTGTATCCCTCCAAACCTACACAATAGTAGGTCATGACCCCTTACTTGAAGGGTATAGCCCTTAGAACAGTAGGTTTTTGCATCCCCAGGTATAACTATAAACTATATGGATGGTTGTCCAAATTATGGTCCCTTGTGGGTCCCTGTTATGATACGGCACTTATTATTTAGGGTACCCAAAAAGGGGTCATACTTTTGACAACTATCCATATATTATCTAAAGGTACCCGGAGCCTTACCTTAAGGCTCCTGGACCCTTGTAGTGAGATCCCGGACCCTAGCCCCCAAAGCCGAAACCCTCCCCCAGAAAACCCACGACCCTCTTAGGAGCCTTAGGGTAGGGAATAAGGGATCTCCAGGAGCTCAGTGACCATGAGATGAACGTGGAAATACTCCAGTTCTGCGAGGACAGGTTTGGCGCTTTTGGGGTTGAAGGGATCTGGGCCCAAAGGGTTCAAAAGGACCCAGTGATAAGGTACTTGAGCTGTAGGGTTTAGAGGGCTTAGGGTTTTGGGTTTCGAAGAGTAGGAGTAGTCATGTAGGCTACATTTTGGAGTTGGACCCTTGGGGTTCGGGCTGCTAGGGTTCACTATGCGCGGACGGATTTGGGCTTGCAGCTTGCAGTTCCAGATGGCCTCAAGGTGTTTTTTTAAGTTTCGAAGTTTAGGGTCCAGGCCTTTGACGCCTTGCGTCGTTCAACAGCCCCTAAACCCTAAACCCTAAACCTTAGGCCTTAAGGACTCTCGCTTGCCCATTTGCCTTTAGGTTTAGGGCGCTTCGGATCTTTTGGGTTTGGCCAGAGTTTCATGGTTTTTCGGGTTTAGACAGAGGCTTGTATAAGGGTTGAATACTGGAAAGTTCCAGGATGTATCAGCTCAGGATACTTGGAGGATCCTGGGACTTAGTAAGTAAGGTTATAAGTACCTTAATTGGGGTTATAAGTAGTTATAAGCATAGTTACCCTAATTATAACCCTAGTTACTAATAAGTCCCATGATCCTTCAAGTATGGGGTTTATGTTTCATGTTTTGCACTTCATCTGCTGGCTGCACTGTGTCCGCCGTGCACCAGCGACAGAGCCCGAGTGAGCTATGCTTTGCACTTCATGAACCCAGAGATTCCTATATCCCTTAATTAAGGAATATTCCTTAAATCGTATAAGGGATCCTACTATAGTTTAAGGAATATTCCTTAAGTAAGGGATATTGGAGTCTCTGGGAAGCGGCTTCTTGGATCCAAAAAGCCGTCGTGGAGTCTTTTGTGAGACCCAAGGGGTCCTAGGTACTGTCAGGGATGCTTCAGCCAAATCATAATGGTAATTCCTAATGTAGAACACCCAGCACATTCTACTATCTCGGTACGTAGGACCCTCTGGGATAGGAGAGTCCTCACCATGTAATTAGTAATAAAGCCAAAACTGGGTAACATACCCCTGCATGGGCGAGAGGCCAGAAGCTGTAGCCACACAGACGCTCATTCAGTGGGTTTCAAAAGGGGACCCAAACATAAACTTTTGGGTGGGATATCCCTACCTCATTGCATTGTTTATAAACGGGCTTTTGGGGTTTTCGCTGGCTTTTGTTTAGGTACCTTTTTTGGGTCCCTATTATTACGTCGGTGATTTGTATCTCCAGAAGCCCAGGTACCCCCACAGTACTCAGAGGCTCCAAGAAAATACTACCAATAACAACACGGATGTAATTAGGTTCCACAACCCTGCACATCAAAACAGCCCAATAGCCTTATGTAGTATGGTCTTTGGGCCCAAAAGCCTTAATATATGAGTCCTTAGATGCCTAGGGAAAGACCGTCATTACCATGGTGTTGGGGACCTACTTTCATAATGGTAGTATAAACGGCGCCGTGACCACAGCAGGACAAGTTCGGCGCAGTTCCATGGGTCGTCAACTCGCGTGACTTTTGCTTGCAGCACAAGGCCCGGTTTTCAGAGTTGCTTTTGGGCCTTAGGGCCTTTAGGGGTTTAGGGATTTAGGGTTTAGGGGTTTAGGGTTTAGGGTACTAGAGTCTACCCTAAGGCTTGTAAGAGGGTCTTGGGCTTTCTGGAGGGTTTCGGCTTTGGGGGCCAGGGGTCGGGATCTCACTACAAGGGTCCAGGAGCCTTAAGGTAGGGCCTTTAAGGCTTCCTCTATGGGCTGCTTAAGGGTTGTTTGAAGGATTCTGCTAAGGGTTGTACAGGGGGTTGAGGGTTTTAGGTTCCTTCAAGTGTTGTTGTAGGGTTTGCAGGGCCCTATTGAAACGTAAAAGGTGTTTGTTGTTCAGTCGGGGTAGGGCTTTCGAATTTATGTGGGAGGTCCGGGATCCTTATTATAAGGACGCTGAAATAAGGCATCCCTATTTTCGGTAGATTTTGAGGGGTTGGGGCTGGTAAGTTCTAGAGTACCCGTAGCGATTAGGCTCTGCTCCCTTGGTGCCTTCAAAGCCCGGAGAAGCACCCTGACAAGGTATAACGGTTGAGGGTTTAGGGTTTTGGGTTTTGGGTTTAGGGTTACGGTTGAGGGTTTAGGGTTTATAGTGCCCAAAATCCGAAACCGCAGGGCACCAACCTTATATCCGAAACCCTACACCCCGTAGAATCTCGACTACAGTCCCTAAGGGTCCAAGTAGTCCTTACATCTGGTTTTAGATACCTAAAACGGCCCTAAAGTCCTATAATGGGGAGTACTTGGTCTGGGAGTACAAGACTACAAGAGACCTAAACCAAACCCTAAGCGCTGGCACAGGTCATTATCGATCAATTTGGGCGTTATCCGCTGCTGGGCTGCACCGCAGGGTCAGACGACACCCCCTACAGTGAGCTCAGGAAATAATGGTGGTTGCCAGGACATTCCAGGATTTTCCCTGCACCTCTTCCATTCGTATTGGTAGGCAATTCTTTAGGATCTCATCTAGAGGGTAGATGGAGGGTCAAAGTAGACCAAAAAAGTCCGAGGTACGGTTATGGGTATGGGGTCACTTCCCCAAATCATAATAATGAGTCTGATTATAGAAACCCTGCATTTTACTATATGGGTACTTAGGATCCTTCGGGAGCAGCTGTATAGGCGTGTTACCGACCTAAAAACCCTAGATACCTTTTCTTGCTTAGCGGACCAAAACTATGCCCATGTTATGGTAGCCTGCCAAGAGAGTCCCTTTATGGATTCCTTTATAGGTGTTCCACTGAGTTCGTTTGAGGGTCATATTTATAAGGGTTTAGGGTTGGTCTTTTAAGACCTAATGTTATAATGGTAGCACATGTGGACCCTC